CACACACACACACACACACACACACACACACACACACACACACACACACACACACACACACACACACACACAAACACACACACACACACACACACATTCTCTGTGTGTGTGTGTCTTTCTCTGTGCGCGTGTGTGTGTTTGTGTGTTTGTGTGTTTGTGTGTGTGTGTGTGTGTGTGTGTGTGTGTGTGTGTGTGTGTGTGTTATATGCTGAGCCTGCACATGGGGCCCATTTTGGGGGCCCGACGGTTGCTGAGGTCCCCAGGCCGCCTGCCCTTTCCAGGCACGTGACCTGGAGGCCCGCGGCCACGTTTTGGGCCGCAGGTTCAGATTTGAGGGAGCATTTATTTATTTATTTTATTTGCTGTTGTTTGTCTGTTGGGGGGCAACATTTCGGACTTGCAATATCCGAACAGACTTTCAGTCTGTTCGGACCTAGGCCACTTTCTGGGCCTCCTTTGCGACTGGGCCCTTTGAGGTCAGGTTCGGTTTCGTCTGCTAGCAGGATGTTCCCTGCTGCATCAGCAGGAAGGTCTGGACGTTCGGTAGGGACCCAGACCGAGTAGGCCGTTTCAGGCCAGGGCCAAGGGAACACCTGCGAGACCCAGCGCTATACATAGCTAAACCAGGCCAGGGCACACACGCAGTTTGAGTAGCTCACTTTTTGGGCGACAAGCTGCTGGAACAGGACAACACGGCACTGCGCTAGAGGTAGAGGATTAGGTAGAGAGAGAGCAAGAGAGTGAGGGAGGCGGTGGTCATACCTGCTAAGGCGGCACTTACCTGGGCGCATAGTGGGACGTCGTACCGGCAACCTGCGGCGCCAGCGGGGCGTGGCAGCAGTTACCTGCAGGTGAGACAGCGAGGAGGGCGACACTCTTCTTCCTTGCCCTCTGCTCCTTCTTCTTCTTGCATGGGTCCTGGAGACCATCTCACGCAGATGTGTACATATCATGCATCATCTTCACACGCAGCGATCAATAGTATCAACCATAGACAAAGGTAGAGAAAAAGGGGTCCGAGTTTCACTGCTTATATTATCAGAATTATGAATACAAAGTGTTTCAAAGTTCCCCTGAGTCCAGCGCTCATCAGCGCAACACCAGTCTCTTATCAACTCATCAATATGACTTTCCGTGAATCAGCGCTACTCCTGCAGATAACCTCCAGGTCATCAATGTGGTCACCACTCATCAGCACCACCTTTGCAGCCCACATTCAACTCAGGTAAGTATCTTCCATAGCCGAATCTTGAATGAACACTCTCAACCTCAATCCCTTCCTCACGATGCATACACACCCTTCATTCATGAGGATCTACTCTGAATACTACTCATAGCTACATACTAACCCACTACTACTACTAATGCTAACTTGCTGGGCAGCTATGGCTGCATCACTTCCAACATGCAATCCTCTTCCCTCACTCAGCGCATCTGCTTCCTCCAGCGCTGCTCCTACTGACTTAACGCACAAGTGCTCCAGCACTTCCACGCTGATACAGCCAGTGGAGATCTGGCGAGGAATGAGGCTGGCTGCCTCCTTTATACTCCTCGCTGGGTCTGCATTGGCTCAATTCAGCCTCTTTCCTTGTCCCAGACCCTGCATTGCATGTGTCCCAGTAGAGTCCCAATGAAATTCAACTGCTGCTGAGGCCTCCCGGCCTGAATTTGGACTTGAAAGTCTGGATCTGGACTGACCCCTGGTGTTGCATACCGTATAGGTGCAGACCAGAACAAGAACCGACCTTTCAATAGAAAGTATAAGATAGCACAGCGGAAGACTTAGATACCAATGATCCGAACAATCAATATTGTAATGCAGCCCCAAACATACATCATCATCATCATTCCATGGTGTGAAGGGGTCTGGCGCTTCACACAGGAAGACTGCGCCAGCCCCAACCATACACAGACGAAGGAGATGGGGGTTAGACGAAGAAGAGGGGAAGATGGGAATGTCGTCAACACCAAGGGTTCAGC